TGTGACTTTTCACCTGAATAAATAAAGGATGATAATAATAATAATAATCTCTAAAACGTTTCTCTCTCTATTTCCGCTTCTACCACCCAGCACTACGCAACCTCTCTTGATTTACTTCATAAGGATTCATTTAAAAACCCCAATGTCTACAAAATATTTTAAATATAAGCTTCACAGAGATGCTAATTATTATCTGTTGTTTCATCCATACGAAACATTTTTTAAGAATAACATGACTAAACATAAAAATACCTATAATGTATAAAAACCTTGAGGTTATAGGGGAAAAATAATATATTTATTTTAATTTTCTCATTTGTTTACTTAGAAATATTAATTAAATAATTAATATTAGTTTGCAATTCTGTCCATTTTCATTTTCAGCCATTTCGAAATATTCAAATGCAGTGGATGGCTAGTTAAAACTGCCGGTATGATAGCAACCAGCTAGCAGCAGTGCGTTGTGGTTCACAGAGCGATCAGACGGGAAATGACCTCTGAAAAGCTGATTAAGCGTTGGGAGATCCGTGCACAGTCACCAGCAAAGCAAAGCAAAACACCCTGTCGTGCACAGATGAAGCGCATGCCAGTAACTTCTAGAAACTCGTGCACCAGGGTCACAGGTGCAAACCTCTCTGTCATCAAGGTGCTTTCCTGCAAGTCATATGATTGTTTTTGTGAGCTCTGGTTTGGTCTGGCAAGCCCTTGGAAAACGTGCCAGTACCTTCCTCCTCTGTCCCTTGGCTTAAGCCTTTTTGCACCCCTACTTGGCTCATAAACATCTTACACAAAAGGTGAGCAACAACATGTCACATGTTGAAGACTGTCTGCCTTGGTGTGAGTTTTCTGTTCACATAGAAAGAGACAACAGTACAAGTACAACGTATATCCCAAAGTGCTTTACAGAGGTATCAATAAAAACGAACTTGTGCAAGGTTAACATGAACACACATGTGAGGAATGTTTCAATGGCTCTTCGGTGGCATGTGTGGCATAATGGTGCAACGCATAAAAAAGCGGCTCCACCTTAAACAGTTCTGTAAAAAAAAATGAGTAAATAAATAAATAACTCTTTGGACAGTTGTAACCAAGATGAACTTGTACCAGAATGATGAGAAAAGTATGAAGACAGGGAGAAACAGATAATGATCCGAAGCATTATGTGTCAAACAGAACCATACTCTCTGCTCAGCTTCAGCCAAATGCTGCAGAAGCAATCAGAAAGCACCTCACTGTGAAAATAGATAATCACCCAAACCAAGCAACAAGAGTTTCTTGAGGCCAATTAAAGAATATTCTTCAATGGCCGAGTAAGTCACATGATCTCCACCGAATAGTGCATGCTTTTCTATTATTGAATACAAAACTGAAAGCAGAGAGACCCTCAAACAAGCAGCAGCTAAAGGCAGGTGCAGTAAAGGACTAGTAGAGCAACTCAAAGGAAAAAACAGCATTTGGTGAGTTGTTCTTTCATGCAAGGATTCAAAGGAGTATTTTTTTTTATATATGTTTAAATTGATGTTAGTTCACTAAAATGTGAAGGCTGTGCATAAAAGTGACTGTCAGTCTCAAACAGCTCATGCTAAATTTGTGTTCAGTCATCAGTTCAGTAACATCTTTGTTCTTTGATTTATAATCCACTGCAGTGGTGTACAGAAGCTACAACTACAATAAAATGTGTCTTCGTCCCAAATGTCACGGTGAGCGCCATCCTCCTAGTTCTCAGTCTGGTCCCTTCCTCACTCATCATGCTGACTTTTAAAATACAAAGACAAAATGAAAGCCTCGGCTAACAGCTTCAAGATGGGGCATTAATCAGTGAGTGACGTTGCAGTGATCAGGCTATGAGCAATTTACTTTTTAATTTTGCTTTTCTTATTGTTGTCAGAGCGATTAACAACATTAGTTTAACAAATAGTTTACACAGCACACGTTTAACTTGCATAAGTTCCCTCAGATCTGCAGAACAGAGTTGTCTGTTCTGCAGATCGTGAGGTACAGTTTCCAAGAAGAAGTAAGCAGCTCCCTTCGTGACTGCCTTTTTCAGTGCAGGTGTCACGCATGACATCACATCCCGTGTTTGTAACACTAAATGTCTGATTAATGCTTGATAGTACATCAGTGAGATCTACTCACACTCACAAGATCTACTAAAAATGATTGAAAAACAACTTTGGAGAAAGATATTCTGAAGTTTACGGGGGGTTTTCTCACTCAGTGGAAGCCCTCACTGGAGTCGTCTTGGCTTTACTTTTAGGGAGCAGTGAGGTCATCCACCTTTATAAACAGTCTACTTCCAGCTTGCTAGAGAACGTGTGAAATACTCTAAACTGAACTGAATGAAGTGATGCAGCAGAGTAATTTATGATTTCCAACTCTTCCTTTTAAAAATGGACATTCACCAGCACACATAAATAAACGTTTACATTGATACATCCCCAGCAGGTTATATGAGGTCATGTGGCCCGCTGCATGTGGAGCAAACGAGGCTGAGAAGTAAAGCTTTTGGAGTAACGGTGGACTCGCTCCCATTGAACTCCCACTAAAAACTTTGTTGTTGTGAAGCACTTTGTAATATTTATCTTCAGTCATCTTAAGTCATAATTTCATTTGTACTTACTTACTTAGAATAGCTGCAAGATGTGCAGGTTAGGTCTCAATACATCACCATTAAAATGACTTTAACTAGTAATGTGTTTGAGGAAGTGTTGATCCAAAAAAATCTGCTCTGATTATGCTGCCATGATTGTCATAATAGGTTATTTTTGCAGCACTGCAGGGAAACAAACAGATTACAAATATGGACAAAACAAAGCGCTGGTATCGGACTTGGTTTTGGCACTGATAACTTTATTTTAAAATGCACAGTTGCAAATTGGTCCACAGTTTTGATGTGAACCAGTCCTATCCTATCTTCAGTCATCCGCAAAACCACTTGGTATCAACCAAAGCCAGAGGTTTAATGTGTGAAAGATTACGGAAAATATTGCAAATGAAAACTTTTAGCAGTCGTTTAAAACACATCACAGATTCAGTCAACCTGATTCCAAAGTTTAAGCTTCGATACCTTAAAAATGGATTTCAAAAAACAAAAAGTCCTGATCAAAGAAACAGACCGAACGAGGTCTCAGCAGGATTTATACGTGATGAACGACATTTTAAAACGACCTCTAGTTCATGCAGGGAAGCAAGAATATGGGTGATGTGGCGTTTGGCTGCTGCATCTAAACCAACCAGAGGACTTAGAAACACGCATGAACAGTGAGTTCAAATAATCGAGATGGGTGAAAATAAAAGTTCCAACTTGTTAAATGACAGCAGAGGTTTGATTTGTGCTTCTTAGATGAAATAAATTAAACTGGGTGAGCTCGGAGATGACGTTCAAAATTTAAATTCTTGTCAAAGATTTCAAGGAGGTGATTTGAGGTCGCTAAACACGGCCAAACACAACAAGTTCAGCTGTGATGGTAAAACTGAGGATTATTAATGGTGAAGCACTGAGGCACTACTGTTTATCTTCAATATAGCTGAAGTACGAATTAATGAGCCTGTTAAGATGACCCGAGGGTAAGAAGTAAAACAGCTGGTCCCAGGGTTGAGCCCTCAGTGCATAACATTATGTTTCATTAGAACAGAGGTGTCGAACTCCAGGCCTCAAGGGCCGGTGTCCTGCAGGTTTTAGATCTCACCCTGGGTCAACACACCTGAAACAAATGATTAGTTCATTACCAGGCCTCTGGAGAACTTCAAAACATGTCGAGGAGGTAATTTAGCCATTTAAATCAGCTGTGTTGGATCAAGGACACATCAAAAACCTGCAGGACACCGGCCCTCGAGGCCTGGAGTTTGACACCTGTGCATTAGAAGATGCTTTCATTTAGTATTTCTCAGGAGTGACAAGATTTTTGCTTTCACCCTGTGTTTACTTTCACCAAAAATCTCAGCAAACAGGACTTTAGCTCACATGCTTTTTAAAAATGCATTTGTGCTGATCTACTTTTTTTTTTAATTATTATTCTTGACTAACATCTAATAATAATTACTTCTCACATCATTTGGTTCTTTGGTGTTCAGAGTTCACCAAGAAGTTTCAAGTGCTGCAAAGAGAGCTATCAGTTCTGTGAACATCAAAACAAACCAGGAAACAGTGTTGTTGCACGCTGCATTCTCACTTTGTAAAGATAGCGTAGGGGTTTGATGTGTGTGTGTTTGTGTGCGTGGGGGGCATGCCTTGCTCTGTGCTGCGCTGCTAACTTCCTGCTTTACAAGCAGAGCTGCTGCAGTTGAGATTCTGCTCTTATGTTGTTTTCAGGGGGACAGCGTTGATGTCAAGGCTCTGAGAGCCAAGTTCAACAGCAAATCCAGCACCTCGGATACCAGCAGCCGGGACAGCGGCTCGCCGAAATCTCCTCGACCTGGGTTTGGGAGAGCCATTCTTCCAGTGGCAGAGAGCGAGCTGACACAGAGACTTTCACCCACGATTCCTCCTCATCTGGCTGGCCCAGGCCCGGTGAGACTCCCGAGAATTGAGCCGATGGCGGCTTCAATCCCTCCCAGACCGGGTTCGTTCCCTCGTCCGCCTGCCTTTGCTGGACCCAGAGCCCCTATTCAGCCAACAGATGCTACCAAAGTCAAGCAGACGGGGGAGATGCTACAGAACATGATGCTGAGGCATCAGAGGCCCCCAGTCCCCCAGGTACCCCAGGTACCCCAGGTACCCCGACTAGGAGCTGGAAGCCCAGCTCCTGTTCCACCTCCCACCTCTACCCCTCTTCCAATCAGACAGCAGCCTCGACAGAGGAGCGCAGGGGAAGTGACCCCACTGAGGAGGCCTCTGCCCCCTGAAGGACCGATGCCCGTGAAACCTAAAAGACCTCCGACTGTCAACTTGGAGCCGTTTCGGAGGAACAGAAGAGGGCTTCCTCCTGCTCTTCCTGCCCCGAGGACGAGTGATGGTAAGTCTGTCTGGTTCAGGTGTTCAAGTCCCTTAATAAGGTACGCCACGATATTAAGTTAACACAGTAAGTGAGACCATCTTGACTTGTTTGTGTCTGCTGTACTGTGACAGTGGATGGTGTATAGTTTATCTCCTGACTGAACTCCCAGAATACAAATAATAAAATTAATGATGACTAACTTCCTTTGAGCTGCTCAGTTAAGTGGACCTGATGTTCTTCATGCTGCCTTCCTGTCACGCTGTCATGCCCTGTCACGGAGATGGACAGAAACATAACCGTGTCTTTAATTTTCTTGCTACGATGGCTCAAAATGTCAGAATTGTCCAAATCAAATCTAAAAGTGACAACAGCATTCTGCGGTGAGGTTCAGCTCCGAACGTAAATCAAGCATTAAGTCTGATTTATTGGTAAATAAATCAGACTCCTAAAAGGAGGAGAGCCTTTTAAAAAGAATCTGTTTTTAAATCTTGTAATGAGACAGATTCTGACACTGACAGTCCTCAGTGTGCTTTGTCAGTGACAAAAAATGTGCTAAAAACTTGATTTGTTCCACCACTTTAAAGGAAAAAGCAGAACACTCAAACAGAACACTCAAACAGAGCACCAAACATCGCGTGTGTAAAGCAGTAATTTCTGCTGTTCATGTGATTGCTTTTTGTGGGATTACACTTCTTTCATCCATTTCATTTTGTCGTAACGTCATTGTGCAAAGATTTTTTTCTCTGCTACTTTTTGTAGGCTCAGGAAGCAGAAGGATGTCTTTACCGGCAGTGGTCAGTCCTCCAAAACCTCCACAACGCTCTGACAAACCCAACAGACTGCAGCGGCAGATTGCCTCTGCGTAAGTATTTGGGTTAACACAACGATGATGTGAAGCCCTGCTATGTCTGGTTTTGAGCCTCTTATGTAAGAGGCCCAGTGCTGCTGAACTGATGCAAAGGAAACTGTGTGAAACTCTTAGTGTTTTAAACCAAGTATTATAGGACATCTTAGTTTCAGCTTTCAAATGACTTCATTTACATCTAGTGCGGGCAAGAGATGCTGAAGAATGACGAAGCAGAGGGTTTACCGCTGCTGCAGTCGTGACCAGAGATTAGAAAATATGTGCGAGGATTCGCTTGTTGCACAGCAACACTGTTTCTCAAAATGCATTTTGAACACACCTAAGTATACTTTTAAAGAAAAACCTTCTTGACCGGATGATGGCTTTAACAGTCAAATTAAGCTTTTTCCTACTGCGTGAATACAGATGTAACAAAGCACTTGCTGACCAGTGATCAGAGAAACCTGTCTGATTGTCGATTTCAGGGACCTGGACGAGGACGAACAGGATCCCTATGACGATATCGACATTGACAAAAATGGTGAAGACTTGTTTTGTTCTTGAAGCTTCTCTGACACACTACATTGTCTGAGCTATAGTCACTGCTTGGTATTTTTAACATTGTGTTTTCTATTAGAGAACACGCCCTGTTTTCACATATCGGTTTATAATTTATATTTTGCGTTACTTTACAGAGAACTGCAGCGATCAAAGTTCACAGTGTGTTGATGGGGTGAGTAAAGAAAAGCCAAAATGAAAAATTTACCAGCGTCGAAGTGTCGCTTTGCAAGAACATAGTGCACATTTCCCTGAATCTGTTAATAGACTAGGTTTAAAACCCACATTGCACTCTTAGAAAATAATAAGGCACAAAAAATAAACAGCTCTGATCATTTTTTAAGCTTTGAAAATCTACAAAAAGGCATTCTTTTATCAGAAGTAATCAGAAGTGCCGCTTTTATCTAATAATCCCGTACAAGATGACTTGTCTTTGCTCTTTACGGGTACAAATAAAAGCTTTTCTCTTGCAGGATGATGACGACGAGGTGTATGAGATGATTGATGAGTAAGTATGAATGTTCTGCCTTCCCCATCAAACCACTGAGTCTCTATTTAATAGAAATGAGGCTGCAGCTGCATGAACAGAAAACAGTCTACAGTTTCTATTGTTTCTGTTGCTACTTCTGTTATTTTTGCACCTCATAAGTGATCTGTGGTGCAGTATTTAAGTTACAGTGCAACAAATGGTACCTTGGTACGATATCTACATCTTTATTTATCGTTTACTATAAAGAGTAAGTCACACTCATTTCCTGTGATTCAACATACAGAATTTCCTGTTAAAGCAAAACATTGTGACAGAATTCAGGCAACATCTGTCGAAATGTGGGAAGATTGGAGAACTTGAAAAACTTTTTGTGTAAAACGCTTATGTGTGAAACATTTATCTGCCCAGAAAATGAAAAATAAAGGCATCTAAATCAAAATCTGTGAAGGGGGAATTCGATTAACAGGTGGCTGGTCTTCGTTTGTTTATTTGATTCTTCTCTTATAGGGAGCAAGAGAAAGCCACCATGAAAGAAGTTAAGAAGAAACAGGAGAAGGACATGAAAGAGATTCAGAAAAAAATGAGTGAGCTCAAGAAGAACTTTCAGGTAAAGACACGGAGAGAGAAAAGATGACTTTTAAGTAAGCCTGAATGGTCAATGGTTAAGTTATCCTGCTCCGCCTCATCCCTTTGGTGTAAACGTTATATCTTTCCCCCGTGCAGTTACAAGGAGAGATAGAGGTTATTCAAACCGCCAAAGTCCGGAAAGACTGGAATGGGGAAGGAAAACTGGACCTGAGCGTGCACCAGGGGGACAGCGTGGAGATCCTCCGTGTGACGGGTAACCCAGGAGGCAGATGGTTGGCACGCACTATGAATGGAAACTGTAAGTTTACATTTCAGTCAATCACATAAAGAAAGCCTTTGAATAACTTGACTTGTACCAAAATATCAAAAGAAAAAAGAAAACAAACAAAGTAGAGACTTCTGCATCAAAGTTTTCCATCTGAAACACTGGTTATTGTCGTCGGTGGTGATATTATCGTAGCTGTGGTTCAGGAGATGAAGCAGGGTGTCTACCAATTGGAAGGCTTTAATGGTTTGATCTCCGGCTCCTCCAGTCTGCATATCAAAGTATCCTGGTGCAAGATACTGTACTCTAATGAATCCACCAGAGTGTGTGTGTGAGAATAAGGCAATAATTAGGCTTAGAGTGAAGGACTGTATGAAGGTGTGTGTGGCTGGGTAAATGAGCTTGGTGAGGACCTCTTGGCGTCGTATTTTAGCACAAGATCCCTCTTTCATGTCAGATTTCTTCAGTTTCTTGCTACTGATTTTTTTTTTCATTTGTTTATCAAAAAAGCAAAGTAATGCCAGTAACTGACAAATGAAAACTCAAATGCAGCTTTCACACTTTTTTCCCCAAAAGTCGTTAATTACGGTACTTCCTTCTGTAAGATATTTTTTTCTGTTCCTTACTTCCTCAAAGGGCTCTGGCAACAACTTTTCACTTTATTTATTTATTTTACTATGTCCTCAAAAATATAAAGTATCTCCATCTGAGCATTTGAGACCATAACGTCTCGTTGACTCCTCTGTCTAGCATGTCATAGCAAGACTAGAGGAAAAAGTATCACAAAGTTACAATGTAGACAAAATGCAGTTAGTGTGACAGAACTTTAGCACATTATTGTGTAAGCGTGCTTATGTAGCAGGAAAGTGATGCTGTTGCTCCCTCTGCATGGATTTATTTAACAATAGTTGAACTCTCATATGGAACTGAGAAACAACTGCTTCCTGTGTTAATGTTAGAAATGCAGACTCTGGATATAAATATACATTCACTGCTCACTTTCTTAGCTACCCCTTTGGATGTGCCTGTGATCTTAGAATATCTTTAATTCTTTGTGAAATTGAGCAGAAATTCAACACGACTCCTTGAAGATTTTGGTGCAGCTGATCCAGATTTGTAGCTGTGCATCCGTAATGTCTCCCATTCAGTCACATCCCAAAGGTGCTCTACTGGATTGACATCTACTGACTGTGGAGTCTATCTGAATACAATGAACTAATTGTCATATATTTGAGCCTTGTGACTTGTTCCTGCTGGAAAAACCAAAGAATACTCAGTTGGTACTCAAGATCCCAAACTGTGCCCCCACCACGAAGAGAAGCCTGAGCCATAGATACAATCGATCCATGCTTTCAAGGTGTTTATCCCAAATTCTGATTCTACTACCATAATATGGCAGCAGAGATCAGGACTCATCATCAGACCAGACTTTTATCCAATCTTCTGTTGTTCAGTTTTGGTGAGCTCGTGTTAATTGTGGCCACAGTTTCCTGTTCTTAGCTGACAGGATTGCCAAACAGTGTGGTCTTCTGCTACTGTTCCCCATGTGCTTCAAGGTTTAACACGTTGTGTTAGAAAGATGCTCTTCTGCATCCTCTGATTGTAATAAGTGGTTATTTCAGTGACTATTTTGTTTCTATCAGCTCAAAGCAGTCTGGCTATTCCCCTCTGACCTCAATAAGGCATTCTCACCCAGAGGACTGCCATTCACTGGATATTTTCTCTTTTTTGGACCACTATCTGGGAAAATCCTGGCACCAACAACCATGCCATGTTCAAAGTCACTTAGGATTCTGTGCTGTGGCTATTTAGCATAAATCGAGTTTTATTAAGTAATAAAATAAGTAATAATCATCTAATATACAGATGTCTGTGAAGGTTCTCAGTCATCCAGGTCATCGTAGTCAAAGGAGCTTGCAAAGAAAAGCGTCTGGACTTCTTTAAGTTGCTTGAAGACGTTTCACCTCTCATCCGAGAAGCTTCTTCAGTTCTAAGGTCAAATGGTGGGGAGTCCAAGATTTAAACCTAGTGGGAGTGTCCCCCCACAGAGGAACAAAAGGACCCCCTGATGATCCTCTAATCGCCTGAGCCAAAGTGTGAAACTGGGTGTGGGTCCCAATCAGCCAGGGTTTCGGGTGAGCTCATTGTGAAACCTGGCCCCACCTTATCATGGAATTCCTGAGGTCAGGATCAGTAATATACAGATCAGATTCTGGGTATTGGATGATTATGCGTGGCTAATACGTATCGCATAATCATGAAATGTCACAATCAAGTCACAGTGCTTCATTTTGTTGTCGCACTTCTCTGCAGATGGATACATCAACAACTCGTGTGTGGATATTGACTATGAAGCAGTGAAGACCAAACACGGGTACAAAAAATCAAACTCACAAGCGTTACCTCCACCACCCCCGGACCCACCACAGATCTTTAATATGGACTCCAACAACAGAGACAGGTGCAGGATAAGAGATTGCTAATTCTGCTGCAGCTTCACATCTGTTCAGTTGAATTTCATTTTCAGTTTTACTCACGTCTCTTCCAACTAAACCCTTGTTTGTATGTTTCCTCTAATTTGCAGCCTGATTCAAGATGAGGGTAAGTGACTGCAGACCACAGTGAAGTGCAAATAACAATCTATACCAAGTTAAGATGATATAAAAATATAAAAGGATTTTTCTCTTGTATTTTTCTCTAGTGGAAAAAAATGTATAGGGATATATTTGGTGCCCAATTTGTCTTTTCTAGAACATTTCTATGAGCTACTTGGCAATCTTGCAGTATGCAAGTGATAGCTATGTACTTTTTAAAAATTTTAGTTTTAATGACAAATATTTGAAACAGTTTCTTTCATCAGATAATATTTCTTATTATTTCTTATTATGTAGCGTTTATTATTTACTATCAATTATTCCTTTTAGCATCTGTTTTATGGACGTTTTGTTTTTTGGTTCTCAGATGACTATGATGATGTCCAACCACTACCTGAAGATTTCCCACCTCCTCCACCTCAAATCAGGTATCAGTTAACCCCCAATTAATATGAAGAAGATATTGATGACTAAGTATTTGTGAATTTTCATCGTAAAATGAACTTTTACTTGTGCAGATCTAGTCACTGGTGACATCAGATGGTGTTAAAGAAAAACAAAATTTAACAATGAGGAAATTGGTAATGAATTCATTTGTAATTAACTGTTATACCATATTATATTTTTCAGCATAGACCCCAAAGTGGAGAAGGATTTGAAAAAAAAATTTAAGGTAAACCTTTTTAAAAACTGTACATCAGATGATTTAGTTTAGTGCCATCTGCATAGCAATCAATTCAGATGTTTGTTTGTTTTTTTACTCATGCAATGGGAATCGCCCTTTTCATTTTTTTTAAATGCGACCACTGTGACTGTTTCCCAGTATGACGGACCACTCAGGGTGCTGCACACCATGTTAGTGGATCCCAACTCCATCATAAAGAAACCAGGAGCAAAAGATCTGCCTGTAACACAGGGAGAGATTGTGGATGTCATCCAGCTCACCAGCAGCAAGAAAGCTCTGTGTCGCAACAGGTTTGGGAAATGTATGTAAAACAATCAGCATCTCATTCACTTATGTTATTTTAATTTGTAGAATTTGCAGTTCGTTGGTTTTAGAAAACATGAAGTACTCTGGGATTTTGTTTGTTTGTCCTTTTTCAAATATATGATGTCATGAGCTTTTCTTACTGTTCTTTTCATATGTCGTTCATTACGGCCTCTGGAAAAAGACAAAATGTTCCTGTAAAAGATGTACGCATCTTCTAAACCTTTCGTAGAAGAGGCTTTATAATCAAAACATTTCAGCCATTTGTATGTTTATGTGTTTGAACATGGCCCAGATGTAGTCAATGGTGACTTATTACACATGACAATATTAAAAACAAAGATTAGACAAGAAACTGCTGTGAAGATTATAATAATAATAATAATAATAAGAGCATGCTGAAAAAAAAAAAACAGTGCAATCATATTCCCAAAAATATTAATTAACTAAATAAAAAATTACCCCAAATGAAAGCCAAATAAAACATTATTTCTAGTAATAATAAAAGGGGATGTCACACAGTTTTAGTTTATTTCTTTACTATTTATAATTATTATAAAATCTTCTCTCTCTACAGCACAGTATTTACTGAATATGTTGATCTGCTGCTGCTTGATGAAAAATCAGGCTATTGACATTTCTTCCTATATCCTTTCTTGTTGGTTAAACCTGACCCAAAAATTACCATAAAACTTAATATATTTCAATAAAACACAAATTTGTGCCACAGAAAGATAAAGCCAAGAGAACAACAAAGTTACAAGAATTTACTCCTTTATAAGCACTGATGTTTAATGAAAGTCTTTAAAACATAGTGTCACAGTCACAGCAAAGAGGGATCCAAATGCAGGATATACAGACAAAGTATATAAAAAATAACTGTTAATTAGACTGACGGTAGAAGTCTATGGACAAAAGAAGCAAAATTCACAGTAACACATAAAAACAGCAAACTCTTAAACAAACACATGAAGCACACAACAACAACAACAAAAGACACTGACAGTGACTGTAGGGAGACTAGTGATATATATGCACTAATGAGGTAATCAGGGAGAATGGAAACACTAGGGTAACATAACACAGCTGAAGCTAATCAAGGTAATGACAAAGAAAGAAAAATGAAATATAAGACACGGGAGACAAATGCCTACCAAAATAAAAGATGAAGCGTTATTACACAGAGACAAGGACTTGACAACATGACACAAGAAGATGAAGATTTGACAGGATACAAGAAGATACAGTACTAGTGAGGATGAACTAACATATGCCAATACATGAATGAACTCCACAGAGAACAATCCCTCTAACCTAAGTAAAGATGTACCGGTGGACTTGACCTTGATTGTGAGGTCAGGTCACTGGGATTTGAACTCGTCTGAGATTTTTAGTAGCTACACCTACGCTATAAATTTGAAACTCCTACGTCAGCTCGATCTCAAGCTATCACATTCACATCGCCTGCCAGCCCAGCAGGGCAACAACAATACCCATCGGCCTTTTAAGTCTTTATGGAGTAATAAAAACACAACACAGATCATTTTTGTGTAGTGATTGATAATTATCAGACAATAATTCAGAAAGTATTTCAATATTTCAAATGATGATAATAAATAGTGATAATTTCTGTGCTGTCTCCTATTTCACAGATGGTTATGTGTCCAGATCTCTTCTTCTTCCAATGTAAGTGAATCCTCCTGACTTCATATGTGACTGACTATATCAATGTTCTTCCTTAAAGTGTAAAGAAGTAATAAATCACGCTAAATGTGTGCTTTTTGAAGATTGTCAAAGATAAAGCTTAGTGTATGAAATGTATAATATAAGGGTCATTGCTGTACACATCTGTGTGTCCGAGTGCATGATACTGTTTAAAAAGATCTGTTGAAACGAATTTAATCCGATCATTGCATCTAGGAACTTATTATATAAATCCCGATCTTTTAAATTAAAACTAATGTAGTAGACAGTGTTAGAGGTTTAAATAACATTAATTTAATTTAATTGCATTTTTTTTTTTGCACTTTTTTCGTGACATATAGCGTTTGCCTCCTGAGTTTTGCAAATGTTTTCATTTTATACAGGCTGTTACTTGAACACCTATATTGAAGGACAAAAGAATTAGAAATTTTATAACTAAACATATTCCTAGTTTTACATTGGTTGCCCCCCTTACCTGGCAAGTATATTTGCATGTATACTAGATGTGTGAGGACACACGCTGTCTGTGTGCATGCGAAGCAATGTGTAAGCTAGGACTGTGACGTTTTTTCATTACGACATGCAGAACAGGAAGTAGAAGCCTTTTAAGTGGAATTCATATACACACAAATGTGCATTACTACCTAAACGTTTGATTTCTTCAACTATTTACTGATTTATATAATTATTAATGTATTGCTAAAAGTGCATTAAACTGTACCTAATAATACATTTTTTTATTTGAAAGCGCCTTTCAAAACACTCAAGGTTGCTGTACACTTAAAAGCAACATAAAAGCAAGAAGTTTACAGAATCTCCTTTCTTTATCTTTATATTATTCTGGGTCCTATTAATAGGTTGAGACAGATTCTTCAACATTAGGCAGTCGATCACAGTAACAAATAAGATTGATAATGGGGGAAAGAATAATATCCTCTGGAAGGGGAAACCTCACTTAAAGTGTAGAGTGCCCGTCTAGATGAGCTGATGTTTCCCTTCCCACAGCTTCAGCAGCTTATTATCCACAGTAGACTTCAGACATTGTCTTTTTGCCCCGACTCCAGCTCCTCTGAGCTTTCACCTTTCTTCTATTCTTCAGACTGTTTCTGTGTTTATGAAATAGGAGTACATACGAATGAGGATCATTTTATCACATTAAATCGTTTTGTTATCAAGCAAGAGCCAAGATGAAAAATCATAAATAACCATTAAAAAAATGTAACCAAAGTTATTACAGTTTTGTATTTTCTAACTTGTTTTTAACTTTATTTATTTATTTTTTATCTTTTTATTTTTTATTTTAACTTTAAAAAAAATTCAGTCTAGCTTCAGTTCATTTCAGGAGCCAGTTTGCCTGTTTCAGTGTAGTTTCAATTGCTTAAAATGTTTAGTTTTGCTTCAGTTTTTATTAGTTTCAGTGTTCGTTTTAATCCTTTATTTAGTGTTTCTGGAGAACAGAAGCAAGAGACAGGAAACCCAGTAAAACACAAAAATCCAATACGCACAAACTGTCCATCAAATCCTCATCAGCCAAATGCTAATAATACATTTTACAAAATTGCTTAATGTTTTTGTTTTATTTTAGCTTTATCTTTTTTCTAAAAGTCTAGTTTTTATTTTTATTTTCACATGTAGTCTTAGTGAAACTGTCTTTTACAAATCTTATCTAAATATCCAAACCTTGTTTTTGTCTGGGCCTCAGAAGCATATATTATTATTGAAAATCTATTCATGTATTCATAAACTAACATTAAAACTGAAATTATCCACTCAGTTACACAAAATATGCACGTCACAGCAATGGCTCATATATAACCATCTTTTCTGCTTTTAACTAGTTTAGTTTAAACCTTGGTGATGAAGCTTATGGAATATCACAAGTTCCAAATATTCTTTTGCAGGGAACAAGACATTTATGATGACGTCGACTATGCAGATGGTAAGTTTCCATTTTTATACTCTGCAATAAAATCCAGTCAGACTGAGCTTTTGTCATTTGTAATTGAAGTGCAAGTATAAAGGCTCACTCTTGCATTTTCTTTCTCTGTTTTGTTTCAGATGTCTACGACAACGATTCTCTGTAAAATGATTATTAAAGCGTATCAAACTAAACATACAAGAGAGAAAAGGAAACAAACAAACCAAACATTTTTTAGCTTTATCGAACTATAACCAAAAACTGGATGCTAGAAAATCAAGTAAAGACAGAATCTGTCTGGATACAGATGCTTTATTTGATTGCACAAACTGCAGAAATGTGTTGAAAAGTCACAGGTTTGTAGAGTTTCTGTAGATTTGTTTGTGCTAAGCTGTATAAAAGTTCAAACTTAATTCAACTGTGTAATTATTCAAACTGACAAAATCAAACGATATATCAAACTTAAATATAAATATAATAATTTATAAGGACTTGGGGGTTTTTTTGTCCACAAAAGGTCACTCATAATAAGACTGTGTAAACAAACTTACTGTAAACCTTCACTCACCTGCCACTTTATTACCTGCTCAACGGCTCATTAATGCAAATATTCAATCACATGGCAGCAGTTTAATGCATTTGGGCATTGAGACATGGTCAAGATGTGTATAACTGATCAAACTGAGCATCAGAATGGGGGAGAAAGGTGCTTTAAGAGACTTTCAAAGTAGCATCATTGTTGTTGGAGTTACTTGGGCTGGTCTGAGTATTTCAGAAACTGCTAACAGATAACTGCTGGGATTTTCCCATTGCAACCATCTCTAAGGTTTACAGAGAAGGATCCAAAATTGAGAAAATATCCAGTGAGCAGCTGGCAAAATGATTGTTTGGTCCAATGGGTGTTGTCTTCCACTGTGACATTCAGATGTTGGAGTAAACAACATGAAAGCATGGATCCACCTTCCTTGTATTAACACGTGATGTCACAAAGCTCACTCAACTCAAATGGCCTCCACAGTCACCAGATCTCAGTCCTGTTCATGGACTCACAGATTCACAACATGGATGTGCAGCCAACAAAATCTGCAGTGACACTTGAATCTCTGCCATAAAGAATTAAAGTGGTTTTAAAAACAAAATGTGGGCTGGAACCTTATATTAGTA